CCGCGCCTCAGATTTAGGAGCGTCGCGGTCTCCTAAAGGCGTCTGGTTTGTCTGGAGGGTTATTCTGTCCCATAAAGCATAGTGTGTAAAGATCGAATTGAAGCAGGCTTACAATTTACAAGTACACTTTTTTCCCCATATCAAGAGAATATTACAATAGCTGTGTGCTTAAAGCAGTAGCAGAAGTCACGTGAATGTTGTCACTGCAGTCCCCAGACGGGAAGAGCCAGCAGCAGTAGCTGCTAATCGCTCTGAGCAGGGAGCTTGCTGTGCTGGCGGTGCCATTACGTTCCTCCTCCTCCTTGTTCCTCCACGCAGAATGAACCAGTTCAGAAATACATGCGAGAAGTGCTCACTCGCGACAAGGCAGCCCAGAGCCTGCGACCCGGAGTGGGCAGCGCTCAGCGCATCGCTCAGGAACTCCGCTCCTCCAAGCAAGTGAAGAGGAAGGAAAACCGTTACCGCGTGGTCGCCAGCCACCGACCGGGCTGTAGCGACCCAGCCGCACCCGCCATAAATGGCGAGGCATCCACTGCCGGCAACAGAGCAGACTCTGAAGCGAAGGAAGGTGCTTCACAGGAGGAGAGCGGTGCTGTGGATGATAGCTCGGACTGCTGGGGGAAATTCCAGCTGTTCGACATCGAACAAGAAGAGGAGGCGGTGGGAGACTCCGGCGTAACCGCTGCAAACCCACAGGTCAGCAAACCAGCTTGGGGTGCTTGAGGTACGTTGGTGTCGCTGTCGGCTGGCACATGTGGGCAGACTGACTGCGTGGAAGTTTTTTTGCATTGTAAGTATTCTGGTGTTTCATCGCAGCTTTAACTACGTATTTGCAAGTTGAGATACTGTGCAGGGAGTGACTTTCGTGAGGATCCGTAAGAGCTCTGATGTTGCTGAGCCAGCCAGCCACGTGGAGCTGGCTGCTGCAGGAGGGGCTTGTACCACCTTGTTTGTTCTGTACCCTGTTCTGATGCATAAATTCTCACATTCGTCTGTCAGGTGGATCTCTGAGGTTTTTGATTAACAACTTCTCTACCTAGGGGAAAAAAAAAATGTAATTCAGTGTCTTACCTACCCAGATGCCTAGGAATGTCACTTATAGGCAAGATTCACTAAAGGAAAAAATACTTTTGAGCCTCCCTTTCTTGTGATTGCAATAGAAGGTTTTATTGAACAGCGGGTTTTTTTAGCAGAATTCTAGGTGTCTGACAAGCTGCTTAAGCCCCTAAATCCTGTTTGCATTGGTATTATGAGTTAAGTGTGTTTTCAGCTGGAGGAATATCTGCTCAATATCTAGCCTGGTTTTAAGCATGAAGCAGCTCTGCCTTCTGGGTAGGATTGCCCTGCACGCTGAGTGTTAAGAAGATTTTGTGTCAGAGACTCATAACAATATGGAAAAGAAGGTAAGAGGGCTGCGTGTGCTTTCTTTAGTAGTTCCTTCACTGTGTGTAAGTACACATGGATGCTTTACTTAAGCAGCCCATCACAGCTCTGAGGAAAACTTAAATGCTTAAAGAACATACGTGGGTGAGGAAGAGCCCAACCAGCTGTCATCCCTCAGCTCTTCTGTACAGGTGATTTCAGGGCTTTGCCATTAAACTTCAGTATGAACTCTTGCTTTGTGGTAAGCAAGTAGTTCAAGCATGCATTGGAGATCAGCTGTTATCTCTCACTCTGCTGATTAGAAAAACAGAAATAAAACTGAACTAGCAACAGAATTTTCCTCTTTCAGAGCTAGCAGTAGGTGTTGAAAGCCAGAGGCAAGCTTTCTTTTTGTTCTTTTAAGTATTTAGAAGTGGATGAAAGGCTTGTCTGTAGCTGTTCCTCAGAATGGCTTAAGTAGTTCAGGAGGACTGGGATGGATATTCTCTGGATTGGGCAAGATATTCTGAAAAGCTCTAGCAGAAAAAAATGGGCAGCAACAACCTGCCTGTGTAGACCTTCAAGTGCAGGTCACTAAAGCAAATAAATTGCAAATCATTTATTAGGAAGGAGAAAGCATGAATAAATTTCTTCTGTGTTGATGCTGAAGTGAGGAAATAAAGGAAATTAAAAAATGAAATAAAAAGCGTATCTGTAGGCCCTGTCAGCCTTTTCCTGTTAATCTGTCACATTTTCATGGTTTCTCCGACACGCTTTGTGTAGTGTGAGCTGCCTGGGTGTTACCAGTGCTACCGCATGCACACCTTCCTTGCGGTGTTGCGAGTGTAATGCTCTGCAACGCACAGGCTGCCTTAAAGCTTGTCTTTTCAACCAACGCCATCAGAAACAGATGAACGGTTCTAGTCATGTCCCCTGCAGTGGTTTCTAATGAACTCGTCTCAGCAGTTGTCTCCTATTACCTCACACAAGGCATGGCTGGCTGCACGAAGTTAATTGGAAAATTCTTTGGTGGGTTTCTGTTCTAGGTTGCTAATGTTCCAAACACCAGTGTTCCAACGGGAGAGTGTTTCGGTCTAAGATTTCAGAATGTCCTCCTTAGGTAGCTGTTGGCTACCGTCTACAAAGAAAACCGTTGGTTGCAACGAAGAGTTTGTATGCGTGGCTTCAGTGGAAATACGCACTTTTAATTTTTTCTCAGCAGAAGACCGAGCCAGATGTGATTCTCTGCAATGCAGTCGAGATGATCCGTGAGCGTTTACATGTTTCTGATGATGGTAAAAAAGAACACCGTGAGAAAGAAGATGACTATGTTTATGACATCTACTATATGGAAACATCAGCCCCTGGCTGGATCCAAAATATCCTTTCTGTGCAGCCCTATAGAGAAGAATATGAACTGGTAAGGGTGTGGGAAAACAGAAAGGTCACAAATGAACGTGCTTAAAGTCCTATCGTTAGAAGTTGCCATGCCAAGAAAGATCCATTGAGATATTGCACGTATGCTGTGACGTCTGTGTTAGACTTCTTGTAACTGCCAGTCCTGTGCTCCTCCAGGTTACTGCTGACTGAAGCAAATTATGATATGACAATGAAAACTGAAGGGATAGCACTCATGTACTTGGAAGAATTAGTCTGGCTTCAAACTGCCTAGTAAAATTTGGTACACAGGTGTACACTTCAGTAATTCACGTCTTATTTTCCCTAGGAAGCAGCAATTAAAATGTAGTTGTAAATACAGCTGGGTAAAAAAAGGAGCAAGGAGGGGACAGAATTTTTTTCAGTATCTGAGCAATCTGCTTTAGGTGAAAAATCAGTTGAGTATACTGACAGCACAGATTTTTCTAGCGTGCCTTGTGCAACTGTTGAGTAACTCATGCTTCCAGGAGGCATCTCTTCGCTCTTTATGGTCTGCATAGTATTGTATAGGTGGATGAAAAACTGCTTGACGCCCAGCGTCTATAGTGAACGTTGTGGTTTGTGTTGACATGCAGGTAGATGATGATAATGTTCCAGGGGAAATATATGAAGATGAAGATGATGAAAATGATGAGAATAACTGGCGTAATGATTATCCTGATGAAGACGAATCCTTACTTGAGGAAGATGGAGAAAAAGGTGTGCCTGTCATGAATATTGTTTGCTTTCATGCTGTGCACATATAAATCCCATCCATTTTCACATGCTGTCTTTCCAAAAAAGCAACTCACTGAGCACTGCTGGGGTAGTGTTCTGCTCTTATGATGGCTTAAAGCTGCTTAGAGAAGGATCATCTTTCTTAGAACTACAAGGGACCTTAGTGTTTTTGCAAAGTCAAAATTAAGAACTTAATTTTAACTTTTTTTTAGAATTAAGAATTTTAGAATTAAGAACTTAATTTTAACTTTTAAGGCTGCCGCACTCGCAGGGACTAGATGACTTGGTTCCATGTGCTGGTGAAACACTGCCTCTGCTTTCTTAACTCCCCCTCCCAGTGCACTCCAAGCACAATTTGGACTTCACCTAATATAGGAGTTGTGTTCAGACTTTGTTAGTTACTCGGGAAGCTTAAAATAATCCGATTAGCCTAATTGTTTAATGAAAAAGAAGGGATAATCTAGAAGTGTTGATGCTCTTTCTTTAGAGTCCGAAGAAAGCTTCAGTGATGAGGACCACTGTTACAGAAGAACATGGAACAAATACCGACAGGAGGTTCTACGGGAATTTGAATATGATGAGATCCAGGATTTGGATTCTGACTAACAGCCCTTTTTTGAAGATGAAACGCATACTGAAGATGAAATTCTGCCATTGCAGTACAACTGAAAATCTAGACAGCTGCTGATGGCTATTTGTAAAAATGTCAAAATAAAACCTAAGCAAAACAAATCCCACAACCCCCCTTCCCCCCCACCACCAAAAAATCACTTTCCAGTAAAAGTTGTGCTCATTGGGACAGCAGGAAACCAATCTTTACCTGGATGAGCTTTAAGCTAAATTTTTGCCTCTCTGGCCTTCTGAAACTGTTGGTGACTAGCATGGTTCACCCTAACGCTTACTGACTTGGTTTGAGTATTAGATGCTAGATTGGGATTCCAATCAATGCTGAAACCTTTTCCTGTTTATCTGAGCTGTTACGATCCGAGCAGCCAACTTCACCTGGTAGATATTAAACAAATGAGTGTGAATATGCGACTTGACAGGACAAATTTTCATTCCAAGATACTATGTGCTTTAAAATAATTTTTCTGTCCGACCTGTGATGCTGACGTTCTGAAGGAACTTTTTTCTTGGAAAAAAGCTGCATGCCTAAGCATTTGTACCTGTACCAACAGTCAAGACTAATGTGTTGGGTTTCACAAAAAATCAAGGTGTCTGCCATGATGGCAACTGGAAGTCCTGGAAAAAGGTACTCTGTCCTAGTCCTTTCTACTGTATTTGTTCCTAAGTTTCAAGTTACCTTCTTTACAAGTACTTGAAATACCTTGACCTGTCCATTTTATTGCTGGATGTCTCTCCAGTAATTTTACCATTGGAGTAGAACACCATACATGCATTTAAATTGTAAATAAAGTATTCTGACTGTTTTCTTTACTTATTTAAAGATCACAGGAGTTGGTACAGCTGAAGCCATGTCAGCATTTTAACTTGCATTCATCTGTAAAACAATGTAATGTTACCTGTTTGGACACACAAAATATTTCTACTTGTGTCTGTAAAAAATAGCTAATAGGATGTTAGATCAGTGTCAGTCATGAGCTGTAGTTTGCAGCAGTGACTTTAGGTTGGTTAAGGTCAACTAGTTCTGGCTGCTGATGTCAAGGTGGTGGGGGCAAAACATTTTTTCCCTTGGTTTCACAGAAAGGTTAATATGGCTGTTAGCTTTAAGAGGCTGGGATTGTGGCATAGGTTATGCTACCCACTGGACAGATGCCTCAACTCAGATACTGAATGCATTCTAATCACATGAAAGACCTAGAGAGCTGTATTACAATAGCTAATTTTCATTAAATTCTGAGAAGACCCTATGTGTTTATGTGCCCACTGTGCTCAGAGTTCCTCAGCTAGATGTAACTAGCGTAAGTCCCAATGCTGTTTCACAAAGGTAGCCCAGGACTCCATTTTGTTTTAGTTTTCACCACCTACTACCATTTGCCATTATCTGTACCTTTTTGTTTAAGATTACTTGGATTCATGTACTGACTCCCTGACCAAGGTTTTCTCACTATTATTCAAGTGGCGCAGCATTTGAAGCGTGCATTGCTTCAGCTCTATTCTTGTGATTACAAGATTTAGTTCAACTTCACATGCGCATTTTGTTGCATGTTTGACAAACTTGGGTCAACTGAGGTAAACACTCTGAACCAACATAAAAATTCCAGGTATATTTTTGAAGCCAAACAGCCTGGCTTCATGTTACCTTCTGCTGCACCAAAATTCAGTATCAAAGTGTCCTGATGTTAGGCTTAGAGCTTTGGAATTCCAAATCCTACTAATTAACATTGGTCAGTATTGCAATACTACATTTATTTATGTTTTCATTCCTGTTTTCTCTCCCTGCTACTTAGCTTTTGAGATACAGCTGCTGCCGCACAAGTTTACTTCCGCTATAGCAGAAAAATGAAAGTGGTTTGTTCTATGAGGTTTTGGATGGTCCTTTTCTAGTGAACAGCACTGAAATTCAGAAAGGGAACTTCGTGACTGCTGATGTGTGTTCACTGAAGCAGTTCAGAAACAAATGCTTACAAGCTTCAAACTGAACATTTTAATTTTGGAAGCTTCATAAAGCCTGTCAAAAGTTGACCAATTACTAACAAGCTAACAGGAAAGAATCACCAAATGCTAATCAAATCTTTAGTGCCAAGGTCCTTTGTTGATTAAATTCTTGCCACAGTCAGATACCACATTTCCACACAGCATACAGAATAAAATACTTATTTTAAGGGAGACAGGTTGGTTCAGTCTTTAACTAACAGCACAACTTTCTTTGTTTTTCTGCTAATAGTGACAAATTAGGTAGTTCATTGTGACCAGTTGTCTTCTGGGATAAGAACCGAGACAGCACAGCAAATCACTCTCCATGCAAATGTCCATCAGAATTAAGCTGGAAATGACTTTTGGTCTTTTGAGTCAAAGTGGTTTTCAGTCTAACATAAAATGCATTACTTCACCACCTGGTTCTGCAGAAATCTAATTTAATCCATTAGCTCTTACCATTTTAATACCTAATTTTGAAGAAGGAACAGTATTGACGCATAGCTTGTGTGCCTGAAATGAGTAGGTAATCTTTATCCAATGAAAACATGCCCTGAAAATATGCCACAGTTTAGGAGGGTGACGCGAGGGCACAATTTATGTGGGAATCCAACTGCAAGTAAGTACATTTGCAGGGTTTCTGAAAGACCACTGGAAACAGTTTTCCCGTTTTTTCCAGTTCCATCTCTTCCCTTTTGTTGTCATAATTGCTTTATCCTGCCTCCTGTTTCTTGTAATGGCTTTGAAATTTTAGCTGGATTTGATTTCTAACTTCTTTTCTTCATTTGTGTCCATCTCTGTTAAAACACAGTAACAGAGAAGCTGCATGTTTCGTGTGACTGCACCTGCACAGGAAATGGAAGATAAAATCAGAAGAATAGACACCAACCTCCAGGCTAGCTACACAACATGCATCTGACTAATGAAAGTCAGTTGTCAAGAATGCTGCCTCAGTTCTCTTAAGGGAAACAAATGATAAAATTTAATACAAAAAGTGTCTTCCACTCAATTTTTTTTTTAAACAGATGTTTAAAACTGTTCTGTTGATAGCCTAGGGTGTTCTTAGACATCCCACCAAGTAACTGAAGTAAAATCTTTCTTCTCTGTAATTAGAGTGTAAAATAGGTAAAACAAAATAAACCAAGCACTTCAAATAGCACACAGGAAAGTGACAAGATTACTGAGTATTTATATATTCCCTAGCTGCTGCAGCATCACATTCTGTTGCATTCTAAGCTTGTTGTGGTTTTCTCACATAGTAACAATGACAACAGCGTACTGCTGGAGAGAAAAGTGTACTGTAACTGCAGCCATTCAAGAGAAGGCAAAATGCCATCTGTGACTGACATAAAATCTATCCATCTTCAAACAACCGATTCAGTAAAGCAAGACAGTTAGCTTGCACTAGCAAGAATGTCCAGCCCTTTTACAGCCATCAGCCTTGCTTAGGAAAAAGACTTTTCACGTGCTTGATTAAGGAGAAATGCGTAAAAACTGAGGACAAAATCCACAGAAAGTCAATGATCTTTTAAATATATAGTAAATAAAATCTGGGTGTAAAACCATATATAAAATTAGTATACCCCTTTACTGGGTCTGGCTGGGCTGCAGTTAACATTCTTCACAGCAGCCCACACAGTGCTGTGGTTTGGTTTTGTGACTCAAACAGGGTTGGTAACACCGATGTCCTGGCTATTGCTGAACAATGTTTGCACAGTATCAAGGCTTTTTTTTTTTACCCTACCACTCTGCCTTCCCCACAACCAGATGGGCAGGACGTTTGGAGGTGATGGCCAGAACAGCGGAACCAAACTAAGCAAAGGGCTATTTCATGCCACAGAACGTCATGCTCAGCAACACAGACTGGGGTAGAGGAAAAAGTGCGTGCATGTGGGAGGATGTCTGCCAAGGTGGCCACTGCCTGGAGACTGGCTGCGCACCAGTTTCCTTGTGGGAGGCAGTAAGCGATTGCCTTTGCAGCAGCACGTTGCCCGCCACCCCCCTTTCCCCTTCACTTACTAAACTGTCTTTATCTTGACCAGCATGTCTTCTCACCTCTGTTGCTCTTATTCTCTCCCTCATTCTGCTGGGGAGTGCTGGTGAGCAAGCAGCTCTGTGGGTACTTAGCACTGGCTGGGGCCAACTGACCACAACCCTTTCCATCAACAAACCGAGATTCACTTACTTAATTTTCCTCTTTCCTAACAACATCTCCCATCTACAAAGAAACTTACCTAAAATCTTGTTGATAAACTGAGGTCTCCTTGATGCAGGTAAATAGACTCCCAAGAAAAAGACTGGAATTCCAGATAAAGCAATGGCAATTCCAATCAATGAATTTATAGTGTCACTATAGAGTGGCACTACCACCAGAAAAACTGTGCATATACAGAATATTATTGGGAAAGCCACACTCAGCTGCAGACAGAAAAAACAAAACAGAATGTTATGTAAATATTTATTGTCTACAGTTACCAACATTTTGGTGAGAGTTACAGAATTTTCCCTCTCAATCCCACTTTATCTGCCCCTCCTCTTATAAATCTGGCTATTTGGAACCATAAGCAAATTGCAGAATTATTCTTGAACACAACTTCTGCTGAAAATTGCAAAAGTAATCAAGTATGGTAAGTTTGCTGTGTCGAAAGAACCTGTGTAACAGCATGAAGTGCTTTTAGAAATATCCAGTAAAACTCAGGAAACAAAAGTGATTTTTTTGCGTAGAGTATCAACTTAAAGTATGAGAAGCTGATAAGAGGATCAGATATTGAACTGAAACACTGTCAGAGCTAAATGTGGTCCGCATTGACAGAATTAACTTATGCATTCTTAATTAAGAGATTTCTAATCCAAGAAAAAAGGCTAACTACTACATTAGCCTATTGAGACATTCTCCAGTTGACAGAGAGAATGGACAGTGATTGAACTAATGTACAATAAAAGAGTGTATTATTACAACAATCGCTTATTCTTATCTAGCAGACAAGCTAGCTTTCACAGTACACCATAAAATAGAAGCCATGTTTTATGTCCTGCTCAGTTTAAAACCTTTAGGCATAAAATGTATGGTCCACATTTTAGACAGTACTTTTACATTATGTGAAAGACAGGGATCTAACACAATTCTGTAATAAGTAAATATTACCTTAAGAGGCCTGTGTCGTTTTGGGTCCTTCCAACGTAGATATAATTGCCCAGCAATAGACAGACCAACAAAGAACCAGTAACTGAAACTGAAGTAATTAATAAGCTTGAAGACATCTTCCACAGCCAGGTAAATAAGGGTCATAACACACTGTCAGAAAAGAACAAGAGTGAGAAGTTCGAAACTTACTGTTTATGCTGCTTTTTGCCTTAAAATAACACCTTATACTCCTTGGTGTTTGGCATGATGTTATGCCTCAGAAATCACCTCTATGACAGTAAATCTGAAGTCCTCTCGTGATTCTTTTTAAAGTTTTCCTTTAAATTATTCACATAGTCGCATCTGAACAACTGAAAAAAAAGCACTAACAACTTACGTTGAAGAGCAGTGCTGGCACAGGTGTGAACCTCCCTATGTGGATCATAGACAACAGATCAGGAAGGTGACCTTCTCGAGATCCTACAAAAAATAACCTGGAAAAAAAAGTAGTCAGAAAACAGACGTTGAGGCCACAAGTGAGAGAGAACGTCTTACAGAAAAATCAAACAACAATACCAATCAAAGTAAGTATTTACACCACTGAATTTCCATCCTTTAAACTGGAACATGCATTCAACCCTTCTTGTAAAGATGTACTGTACAACAGCCATTAAAAGATATATAAGGTTTTAGAAATATGCTGTTAACAAAAATTTTTAAAAAACAATCCTACAGGTAAAATAGAAAACATCTACAGTAACTGAAATAAATTTCTATTGTTTTAAAAAATTCTGAAAGCTAGCACTGAAAACATTCCAGCTTATAGCAGAATAGTTTTCAAAGCCAACCAGAAGAGATTACCGGGTCTCTAAAGAGAGCTCAGTCAACCACATGCTCAAAAACCAAACACATATAATTTTATTATCAACTGCAAATTGTTCTATACTGACTACTGCATCAGATCATGTTCGTATTTGTTCTCAGTAGAGACACACTGCACATACATTCAATGGATAGGAAGGATGTTAAAATGCCTGGGTAAATCTAGTTAAAACTTTCACTAGTCACATCCATGATCAGTGCTCAGAGGAAAGCTTCTGTACTCTATCCTAAGCTTTCTGACTGCAGCTTAATAGCAGTAGTGACTTTTAAAAAATTTTTACTTGGAGAAAAAGATACTAAGGTTTTAAAAAGTAAGTTTTAAGTGTATATATATATTTGAAAACTTGCTAGAATTATTGTATGAAGTAAAATAGAAGATAATTCAATCCAAATAATCAGAAAGCCTGAGCACCCGCCACACAGCCAACATTCATTTGATCTTTAATTGTACTCTGCATACAGCCAAGAATGCTTTGGGGTAGTAAGGTGTTAAGGGTTTATGTACACACACAGATTTATTTAGGTCTGTTATTTTATTGTGGCTATTCATTATAGATTCGGTTACAAAAGTATTTTTGCCACTCTCATAATAGATGAGCATAACAGTAACATGTAAAAATACTTATGAACATTTGTCAAACGGAAAGAGATATGTACTACCTTGATGATGCTAGAATTGAAGCATTAAGTCCACCAAAACAAGAAAAGGCTACAGCAATGGGAATTGTCCAACTGAAGATACCAAATACCTGGTCAGCAAATGTCTAATGAAAGGGCAAAGAAAAAGGAAACATGAAAATATCTGCAACAAAGCATACGTAAAACAATGACATCAAAGCTTTTCTAATAAGTTTCTATGGAAAAATAGTAATATAGTAAGGACAATCCATAATGCAGCACACAGCTTTCTCATTTATTTATGGATTCTAAATAAGCACAAAGTTCTTTAGCCAAGCACCTGAACTCACATTTTCTGCTCAGAAAACAAAACTTTTTTAGAATTTTCACTTGAACATACTGTATTATCTAACTGAACTACAGAACTCAAGTGTAACACAGTGACTACAGAGAAAACAGGACAAAAATATTATTACATATCCAAAAAGGGAAATGCCATATTGCAGATGATAAACACAGCCACCATCACACCTACTGTTTACAGAAACTATTCTAGGAATCCATCTTATTTTCCTTCTTTTTCAGTTTCCTGAGCAACCTCTTCTTTTCCTTTAGCTCCACCAGCAGGGCCTCTGGGCCTCTCACAACATGGCAAATGACAGAGCAAGTATCTTATTAGCAGTCATGTATTAATGTTGCTAAACAATACCGCAGGCCAACTGTGGAGACTTTCCATGACACAGCTCTGAAACCAAGAAGCCAGGAGCATCAAAGTTTCACAGCAAGTGGTAAGAGTCATCGACTGCCAGTGATATGGGACCTATAGTGAAAATCAGTAATAATTTGCAAGATATCGTCCTGGTCAGTTGTGTTCTCCACATGGAGAAAAAAGGGAGAGAGACTTTGAATGCTAAACAAAATTTTAAAATTAAAAATTAAATACATGAAGACTGACAGCTATTCTACATCCCATCTCGGTAATAAGCATTGTACATGTCTGAACATTAGCACGTCTGGAGTTAAGCAGAAAACAGCTCATGCTGTGTTCAGAAGACATAGGTGGAAGCCTTCCTATCCCAATTCTACCTACTGATAACTAAATTACTTCTGTGATTTCTTCTACTGAAGCAAACTAACAGTCATGGTAGCAAAAGGATCATGTCTACATTAGGCAGCACAAAACCACTATTTATAGAAACAGAAAGGTGTAGGTGTACGTACCACGTATGTATAAGTAGTATTCAAACAAACCCCAAGGATTTTGTGGGTATTAGAACATTTTACGTGTCAGCAGGTAGCAGTAATCTAAGCCTTTTTATGAACTTTTCTCTAAATCATTCTTAGCTCTCTCTTGCTTTATCAGTTTCAAGATCCTCAGACATAATAAGCATATATACTAGTTCAACTTCCTGTAGGTCTGCCTATTACAGAAATTTTCTTCAGTTTTTAATATTTCAGTATTTTGAAATACCTCTCTCTTGACAGCCCCTTTAAACTACTGGTCTTCAACATAACATTTATGAGCCAAGAAGTTCAGTCAATGTAGACTAACATTCAGAACTGGCCTTTGTTTGTAGCATATAAAGTTATCAGGATTTAACAGTGCTCAAATTTTGATTGAATCACTCCAGGAACAAGATCACCAAAAGCAGAGCATTGTGATCTGTTTTCTGAATGTATTTTAAGGTCAAAAAACCTAAATGACTTAATAAGGGTTTTTTAAATGAAATTAGTGATTGATTTTCATGAGGCAAACCCTGCATATAATGTCAATCTTTCAACCATAAAATGCAGAAAAATTTACATAAAACAACGCTTGGCTGGTTAAAGTTTCGTGTTCTTTGTCTGGGTTAACAAAGGGCTTTGTTCAGCACTAAGCTTCAGAATCCAGCTCTGCTTAGCCATACACCATCATCTACACTAAAAAGCAAAATTTATTCTATCCTTTTGTGTAATTTAGCTGAGCCGCAAAGGTAGACAGGATTTCCTGCTGCTAAGGGACACTTCAATGGGACACTTGCCAAAAGGTCCAAAGTCATTGCATCAACTGTGTTAGTCACCCTGATTCTTAATAAAGCACATCTCTTCCTGAGCTCTTCTAGTTTATACATACTAGTACAGCTTCCCTCCAAGTGGAGCTTCAACACAGAGGTGGACAAATGCACACACAGATTCCCACAGAAATTATAAAAATTAACAAGAGAAAATTACAAAAGAACTAATCCATGTATGAATTCTATTTCACACTGAAATCAGAACAGAAATTTAGCAAAAGACCATGCCATAAGAAATGTGTTCTATATACCGTTGATTACCCGTTTTCAGTCAATTGAAACTGAACAAGCAACAATAAATTTACATTATTTTATATAAAAGATTTCTGCTGCTCAAGAATAAATAATTATTAGAACCCACAGTGCTGCTCTCAGATCTTTATTGGATCTAAATACAGCTGTGAGACACATGGTCTCCCAAAGCAGAATGTAATTCGTAACGATCCAGTGAATGAATTAAGACAACGTCTACAGAACAAGTAAGAATAAGGACAAGATGAAAATTCTAATAGGCAGTTGTTGGAATATTTTAAAGGATGATTTAAACCTGGACTGATGATTTCTGAAGCCAAACAAGTGAAATTACTAGACACCAAACTTACAACTGCTAGAGTATTTTTCTTTTTATAATACACAAAGCTAAGATACAGAACTCACTCAACAAGATGTTAGAGAATTAAGATGTTTAGTAAGGTTGCCTAAAGGATAAGCATTTACATAAGTAATATTAACAGCTAAAGTTAAAGACGAGAGAGAAAATGCATAAATGTAATCTTATGCTGCAGGATGCAAATTAGCTAATGCGACATTTGGAGAAACTTTTTCCCCTCAAAAGGCAGGTCTGTGTTTGTTCTTTGCAAGCATTTCCCATCTCCTTTTGAATCACCTAGTAATGGGCCAGTGTGGAATGCCAGATGTGGTACTAACTCAAAGGCTATTTCCACCCTGTGATGTATATCCGATCTGTCTAAGGTATGCTAATGTAGTTTCACACATCCTGGAAAACAGCAATCACCTATCTAAGCAGTAAAAACCACAAAGAGTTAAGGCAAAGCTATGGTATCACTGCCACAAATTATACACAGATCAAGACGCTACCAATTCAATGTATTCTGGATGCAAGCGATATGATGTATAACAACAGTTGATCCAGCTCCAAGTCAAATAATAAATTTCCCTAGATCTGTATGACTCAGCCTCTTCAAAAGAGAGAATAACCTAGTGACAGCACTGTCATTTCCAATGCACTTTCTAATGTTGTAGTTGGGATTCCTGAGAGAGCAAAGGGTGGAGCATTAACTTCAAGAGCTTAACTTTTCCCTAAATGAGGTAAGGCAAAAGAGGGTTTTAACTGAGAACGATCTAGAAAGTTCAGCTTGGTTTGCCAAGTAGATCTGCCTGCAAAATGATCTTTCAGCAAAACAAAGTTGAAAGATACCTGAAGGTTAGCTAAACTTTCTAGTGATATTAACTAGCTTCACATAACAAGTATAGACCCTCTGCCTTTATGCAGGTGTCTTCTGACAGGGTTTCACCCTCCTTTCTAAAATAAAAATGAGCCCAGTTCATGTATTACTACTCAGACAATAAACACATTTTATACTTCAGGGTACACATTTATAAATCCTTCAGCGTCCCCATTTTAACAGATGCCAAGAAACGCCTTCGCCAAAGCTGAGCTATGCTCTCTTCTGAACAATGACAAAACCAAAGATCTCTACAGTGTTTCTTGCAGCGTTACTGAAGCGTAAGTAAAAGTGGCCGCAATAAGCATTCAACTGTGTGCATAAGAAAGGAGGGCAGACAAAAGTACAAAAAGCAACCAAGTTATCAAGCACATACAGCACGTGCACTGCACCAAGAGAAAAAAAAAAAAAGAGGGGGGGAGGAAGAGGAGTTAGTAGCTGCTATCTGCTAAAACTGCAATTGTACAATCATGGATCCTCCACAACTGAGGTAGACCTGGGCTCGGAACTGAGCACTTGACCAATTCCACTTTAACTGCCACTACTTCTGGGAGTAGTGAAGTGCATTTATAAAAACAAATGAACTGGCAGCAGGGGAAAGAATGGAGCATTTGTAAGGGTATGCGGAGGATGACAGAGGAGCCTACCTGGAGGCAGCTATAGCAGAAGCATTTAGTCCACCATAACAGGAGAAAGCCACCACTATGGGGACGGATTTCTTCTCAGGTTTCTTCTGAGAAAGTCTAAAGAGCAAGAAGGATTAAGAGATTAAATTGTCATCTCTGCTATGGTCTGACAAGTCCTGTAGTCCAGACTTGAGCTGTAACTGCTTCTAACAGCTAGGAAACAGTAAGAGAATTCAGCAGCTGATACAGCACTTGCAATTACAGATAATGTCCTTTTATGCCCTCCCATCCATTGGACATGTAAGATACACATATATACACGCACACTGTAGAAAGACATGCACCTGGAATTGTTGCCCTTAGTTTTGATTTTGTTTTTTCCAAACCACAAACAGGGAATAGCAATGGAGGAAGAAGCTTCCAGCCATGTGCTTCTCAGCTGAACTGCCCTCATTTCATCATGACCAAAATGTTACACTGCTCCCAGAAGAATGGTCAAAAACTGAATTACAGCTTTGTTTCAAGACATGAAAGACCGATTTAAATACATTCTATTTTTATCTCAGGTTAGTTTGATCTCATGATCATCAGCTGGTAATCTGTGAATGGTTTGCAAGAACCCTTTTTTGTCCTTTTAAAGGTCCAAGCAACAGTTCTATACAAACAGGTTGAACTACAAGCAGCGGGAAATGCCCCACATAAAGAGCTGCCACAACAAAGTACACAGGATATTGCCTCACACCCAGTAATTCAAACAGATGATTCAAAAGACCCACATTTATGTTACAAGTCACAAGATGAGAATTGTTTCATCAAACTTGGCTGCACACAAGAAGTGCACTTATGAGGTACACAAAAAATGTCAGACTACACTCAGAGCATACGGAGCTGCAAGCACATGCTAGGCTGGCAAAGCACTGAACAGCACTGATCAGCTGGATAAATGCAAAGAGAACGTAGGCTAACATGACTAAGAAACTTCCACAAAGTAAAGATTATG